CACACACACACACACACACACACACACACACACACACACACACACACACACACACACACACACACACGTCTAATATTATGATAACTATAAATGCTAATACTAATAGCGTTTAAACTAAATTAGAGGGCGCAGAGGTCTTTCATTCGCACACAGACCGCTTCATCCCACCCTCCCGAAACAGGAGATTACTCAAGCACTGACCTTTCACTGGGTTGACCTTCTTCCATCGTCGTCCTTCCTCCTCTACCTTGACAGTGGGCGCAGGACGCGGGAACCTTGTAGTTGTAGCTATTCGCAGACGATCTCGGCTGCACCAACTCAACTATCTCATCGAGTACCGACACGGAGCCTTCGCTGAGCCTATCCACGGACTCAGCCTGCCGCTCTGGGCTCGGCATCACTCGGTCCTTCTCTACGATCGATCGCAGCAGATCGTCCAGTCTTTCGAGTCCCGACTTGTGCCCGCTTGCGCATACTTGATCGCCCATTCTACATGCCCGTGGATCAATCCATTCTTTTTCAGTTTGGCGCCATACTTGTTTTGATTGAGCCGTCGCGTAGAAGCGAGCACACGATTCGAGCGAGCGGATTGCCGATGCTGCCGATAAAAGCTGAAAATAATCCAGACGCGTGGACTGCCATAGACTTTTTAGTGGTTAGTATACGAGAAGCTCGGTAAGATTTGTTCGTCATTGGTATCGTCGTGGTTCTTTATCGGGTGACTGACCACTGAACACGCGTGCACAGTGTTTCGCGACGACACCGCCATCTAGTAGTAGAAATGATGGCTAAATAACGACAATGTGTAACGAATGTAATAATTTGATAATTTGTATACCGAAGAAAGAGAGAGACAGAGTTGATAAACTTTATAGATCAACACTGCGGTTTGCGGTAAAAATGGCGTAAAGTAGCCATCATATCAGAAGCGCATAATCCATTTTAATGGATTTAGATTAAGAGTTTGGATTTTAATGGATTTTAATGGATTTTAATGGATTTGGATTAAGAGTTTACGTGCTGTTAATCGTATGAATTGTAAAACTATGTTGGATGCAACTCGACGACTTTTTTCACATCAAACAGTTGATGCATATTGCGTACATGCATGCATAAGCTCTCCACGTTAAATGCATGATGCGGTATCCAACAGATGTCCCTTGGTTGTATGCGACGTTGACTTAGTTTAAAGACATATTTTTGAAATAAGGAAGTTGATGAACGTATATATGACCCCCTATGTGAAATATTTGCATAGACATATTTCTCATATCAAACTACTTATTAGTATGTGGTCTCTAAAATATACCTCTTTAAATATATAATCGCAATCTAAATAATATTTGATAGTACGATATAATGTTAGACTTGCCATACGCAACATGGAAACCTTATAATCAATAAAGTCAAAGCGTTTTTTGCATATCATATATGAGTATGTGCTCTCTACTGTAAATGGATAATTATTTCGTTGATTGCATGTTGAACAATATTCTGTTGTTAGCTGGAGACACAATAATGTCACTGAATGCATATGCATGAATGTGACTGCTGGTTGTTGAAGGTGACAAAACATAGGTTGACACAATGTTGGAGAGTAAAGGGGGAGTGGGTGCACTGTGGCTGGTATGGACGTCTAGTCCCCGCAAGTCTAAAAGCAGTCTTCTAAATTATTTTATAATTATTTGTAGGTATAGTTTATCTTCTGAAGAACGTTTTACAGATAGCCATATAACAGTTTCGTCATGCCACCTTCATACCGACGTAGTAGGGAGTGTCGTATTCATTTCGCGCATTAACTAACTTCGTGGCGCCATCTTTTGATAAATGGATGTAAATTATTGACTACCCGTGATGCATCGAGGCCAGCCGTAGAGTCTAAAGGTCGAGAGAGTTTTGGTGCGCCCACTTGCTCACTGGTCTCGTAGCACGTAGTTGATAGTACTAGTAGTTTTTGGCTGGCGTCTAACTTTAGTAAACGGATTAAGTTCTATAATAATGGCGTCCAAGGTTGTAAGACGAATCATCCAAACTGCTAATGCACCACAAGCTATCGGACCTTACAGGTATTGCAATTTACTTGCGGAGTCGAGTTGATTTCGTGCTGGTGGTCTACACGTGTACATGTACATGTACATCATACATGATGCACGTGTTCATCCATGTTCGAAAGCGGCGCAAAAATAATTACTTCGCGGCATGAAATATTTCACAGTTTACATTATCAATACATCAGAATATAGTAACCCGTGTTTTCTTTTCGCCAGCAGTATTGAATCATTTCTTTACCGTTGTATCGGAATGCGATTGATTGATGAAATTCATTGCAATAAATTCCACGGTGACCTTTGAGATTTGCGTTTGCAGCCAGGCCGTGCAAGTCAATCGCACGCTATACATATCTGGATGCCTCGGCATGGAGGCCGCCACGGGAAATATGGTCTCTGGAGGAGTTGTCCCAGAAGCTGACCAGGTGAACCTAGTAGTAATTACTTAGTAATTATCCTCATTCTGGTCAACGCGCTGTCAGAAACATATATTATACCCATGCACAGGTACGGTGTCCGCCGTCGTCTTGAAGTGCCCCTTTTTGCTTAGGGTTAGGTTTAGGTTATGGTAGGTAGGTAGGTAAGGTAGGTTCAACTCATCTAAACCTCAATCGGAATTATTTCCAAGCGTTATTTCGAATCTGGCGCACCGCGAGCCCC